TCTTAGAACTTTATATTTGAATTCCTCCTTTGGATTTACACCTTTGCCACAGTATTGACATAGCTCATAGCAAACTTCCACCTAACATCCTACATGTGATAAAAGCATGCCTTCCTACCTTGTTCTCCTCAACCTGTCTCCAACCTTGCGTTGACTACACCATCCATCTTTAATGCACCTCCCGTGTTGTGCAGGTGTATGAGACTGCTTTCTCCTGGTTCCATTTGTACCTAAGTATTACCAGAACATCACATGCAATTGCACTAGTACCACTGGTGTCAGCCAAGAATTTGACCTTCATCTATCCAACGTTTCATCTATATCCTGCTCTTTTCGGCATCATCTGAAAACAAAGTATTAGTTTTCATGCGTGCTGACAACGCACAGCTCTATTCACCATTGTCTTTCTTGACTTTCCAACTATTGCTAAATGCTTATTCGACATCTAGGACTGGATGATTAGCAATCTCCTCCAATTAAATATTTGAAAACTAAACCAGTATTTTCTGATCTTGCTTCAAATTTCATTCCCTAGTTACCAACTTCATCCTATCTTTGACTAAAGTATGAAATGAAGCCAAACTGTTTGCAACCACGCTCCTGAAATTAGATTCTGACTTCATATTTGAGATCTCCCATCTGTAACATCATCCAATTTCACCTTGCTTTAGCTCAATTGTTACAGGCACCCTTACTCATGCCTACATAACTGTTAGTTTTGACTATTACGATCTTCAATCTTCCTTAAACGAGAGGTAATTCTAATTCCTTTTGCTCATGTCCTAACTCACACCAAGTCTTACTCACCTATTATCCTTACACTGTTTCTGTTGAGAACATCTTAATTTTAAAATTCTCATCATTGTTTTCAAATATATCTATGGCCTTACCATTCATTATTTTTTGTCTCCTTCAGCTCTGCAAGTTGGTTAGAATCTACAATCCTTTAAATATAGAGTCATAGCGTTATACAGCACGGAAACAGACCCTCAGGCCCTTTGTTCCAACTCGTACATGCTGGCCAGATATCCTAAACTGATCTAGTCCCATTTGCCAGCAATTGGCCCATATTCCTCTAAACCCTTCCTATTCACGTACCCATCAAGATACCTTTTAAATTTTGAAATTGTATCCGCCTCCACCACTTCCTCTGGCAGCTCATTCCATTCACGCACGACCATCTGTGTGAAACAGTTGTCCCTCAGGTCACTTTAAATCTTTCCCCTCTCACCATGAACCCATGCCCTCTAGTTTTGGACTCCCTTGCCCTGGGAAAAAGATCTTGGCTATTTACCCCCTGATGCCCCTACCTCTATAAAGGTCACCCCTCAGCCTCCAGATGTACGTGGAGCTTCCTCCTCCAATGGGTTGTTTAATGGTCTTCCACCATTCACTAGATTTGGCAGAACTGCAGACTTCATATTTGAGCCATTGTCACTTGTCTATCACTTGCTGCTTATGCTCTTTGGCACACAAGTAGCCCTGTTTGGTAGCTTCATCAGGTTGACATCTCATTTTTAGGTATGCCTGGTGTTGCTCCTAGCATGCACTCCTGCACTCTCCATTGAACCACGTTTGATCTCTGGCTTGATGGTAATGGTTGACAGGCCATCAAGTTGCAGATTGTGCTAGTGTATGATTCTGCTGCTGTTGATGGTCCACAGCACCTCATGGATACCCAGTCTTGAGCTGCTAGATCTATTCAAAGTCTGTCCCATTTAGCATGGTGATAGTGCCAGGCAACACTTCAATGTGAAGGTGGGACTTCGTCTCCACAAGTCTGTGCGGTGGTCACTCTTACCAATATAGTCATGGATAGATGCATCTGCAGCAAGCAGACTGGTGAGGATGAGTGAAATATGTTCTTGCCTCTTGTTGTTCCTTCACCATCTGTGTTCTTTAGGATTCTTAATTCCATATTTTTTCTTAAATTGAATTCAAATTCCACAATCCATGGTGGGATTCAAGCCCGAGTGTCTAGAATATTAGCTGAGTTTCTGGATTAATAGTTTAGCAGTAGTATCACGAGGTCATTGCTTCTCCACGAGTAATGAAGGAAGGCGTGGCTGCCACTGATGCAGTGATTAATGTTGAAGATGCAATAGATCAGAAGCAGAGAAATGAGATATCTCACAAGGTTGTTGGTAGATGAGACAACAGAGAGGCCATGAAGGGATTTGAACACTAGGACAATTTTATGATTGAGCTTTTGCAGGACATGGAGGCAATGGAAGCAGATGTCATAAAGGAATTTACAGAGTTTTGCTGAAACATGCCATCAACAGAGATTGGGTGAATGTAAAATTGATAGAATTCATGATCCCTGAAAGATATCCCTCAATTTCATCAGTCCTTCAGTACACAGAGAATGATATTGCTAAATGAAAAATGGAAGTATTAGCTATTTATTCTATAGCTGGGGAGCTCCCCTCCTCTTTTTTCCTCATGGGGTTTTTTTGCATCCACATCACAGACAAGTCAAAATGAGGTGTTGGCCAGAACATTATTTTGGTGATGGCAGTTGAGGCTTAAAATCATTTGCCAGAACTCTGTGGAGAACGACAAAAATTGAAAAGGAAAATATTGCAGCTTCTGGAACTCTTGAAAGAAACCATGAAATTGCTTGTAGTCCAAAGCATGGAGTTCAAGTTCCTGGTCTGTGATTTCTCATATGAACTCCTGGTATCAGGCCTGCTGAATATTTTCAGCATGTTCTGTTCCAAATTACTCAGAAGACGATCGATTTAAATTTGCTTTTCACAAACTCTGGATATCCCAAAGCGCTCCACAACAAAGTACTTTATGAAGTGTAATCAATTATTGTGCATTTGTGACATTGATTGAAGATGAAGTAGTGGAGTGGAAAAATGCCCCTGAAACTCTTCCAGTGATGATCGTGGATCGTTTACATGGTGTGTGTATGTGTGTGTTCACTGATTTAAAGGGTCTGGACTTCACACCGGAGTGCGGGGCTTTACTCTTGTTTTCCTTCACTTGAGGATTGAACTTCCTGTGATCCTCCTCCTCCTCTCCCTCAACCCATTGCCATCCTTCCTATCCTCTATCTCCATCTTCATCTTCTTCCTGTCTCCTTAAATCTGTCTCCCTCTTTCCTCCCTCCATCCTCCTGCACCTCTCCCTCCATCCCTCCTTCCACTCAGACTCTATTTTCATCCTCTCTCCCTCCAACCTCTCTATATCATCCTCTTCCTCCCTCATTTCTGTCTTCTCTAACTCAGTCCCTCCTCCTCCTCTGTCTCCATTCCTCTCTCCCTCAGTTTCCTCCTCTCTCCATCAGTCCACATCTCCCTCAGTTTCCTCCTCTCTCCATCTCTTGATCACCTCCAATTTTAAGTGCTTTCATCTAAATGGATGCCCTTCAATTGCTTAGGCCCCTGTGTGTCTGAAGTATAACATTGCTGAAATGTTTGAAATAGACTGTTAATATATGCACAATAACATCCCACAGCAGCAATGTGACAGTGATTAGATAATCTATTTTATGATGTTGCTTGAGAAGCAAATATTTGTCAGGAAGCTGAAAATAACTCTCTTTCTCTCTGAACCTGCCTTGAGAATTTGGCATCCACATGAGAGAGCATATGGGGCCTCACTTTAACATCACACCCCAAAAAAAAGCACATCCAACAGTACAACCGTACCTTAGTACTGCACTGGGAAGTCAACCTAGATTTTTGTGCTCAACTTCTGGATTGAGACTTTAACCCACCAATATTTTACTCAGAGGTATAACACACACATATGATATACTAGTGCATATATATTGATTTAAGAATTGAGGCAACAGGACCAAAATTTGCCTACACCAAATTTACGGAATGATAAAGATTGTGCTATGAGAAGCACATTGTTAGGGGACAAACACACCAAGGAAGGTGAATAAAGCTGTGGTAGTTTGCACTCTACATGAGGAACTGTAAGATCACCCACTTGGGACCTGAGAAATAAAGATCAGAGTATTTTCTAAATGCTAAGAAGTTTAGAACTGTGGAAGAGGAGGGAGATTTAGGAATCTAAATGCAGGACTCACTGAAAATCAACAGGTACAAAGATACAGAGATAGTAGGAACTGCAGATGCTGCAGAATCCGAGACAACAAGGTGCAGGGCTGGATGAACACAGCAGGCCAAGCAGCATCATAGGAGCAGACAGGCTGACGTTTCGGGCCTAGACCCTGCTATTACACAAGGAAGTGGAAGTTATTTTATAGTTACGTAAAGTTTTGCTTAAAACCTAATTCGAGTAGGTAATTAGTTCTTAGCATTGCACCTTAGAAAGGATATATTGGTCTTGAAGGGATGCAGCATAGATTCACCAGAACGTCACCAGGATTAAAGTGTTAAATTGTGAGGACAAAGTACACTTACTCGGCTTGTGTTACCTTTGTCGTGAATGTTGAGGAATAATCTAATTGATATATTGAAGATGGTTGAAGAAATTATGGAGATAAATTATTTCCTTGGATGGCAAACTCGGAACAAGAGCAATTATGCGAAATAACGTTTTCACTCAACGACTAAATAGTGTTTGGAGTACTGCCTTAAAGTGTGGTGGAGGCAAGGTCAATTGAGGCAACCGTGAGGGCATTAGTCGATTATTTAGATTTAAAAAATAAGGTGCATGGATATGGGAGAAAAGCGAGAGATTTGCACTCGGTAACGATGCTCATTTGAAGAGCTAACAAGCACGACGGATCGAATGCCCACCTTCTACGTATTAAGACTTCTCTGGTTGAAGGGAAAGTGATATTAAAAATTGAGCCAGAGCTAGTGGTCGTACGAGGAAGCATTTATCCACACAAACGAGAATAGAGAAAACATTGTCTGTACTGACAGTGAAAGGGCTCAGTGCCCTAGGTTTAGCTCTTACTGTAAGGAACTCCGGCGCTGCAAGGTGACAGTGACAATCGATACACCCACTCATCTTACCCGGAGTACAAAAACTAACGCACTTCCGTTTCTGTCGTAGCTCTTTATGCGTAGCAAGTTGCGCAGTTTATTTTACTAATGCTAGTGGCTTATATTCTGATGAGCTATTGAGAAAGCCATTGGATTTAATTTTCTCAAAAGTAACAGTCTGACTTGCATTGTACGTTCTGTACATGATTTGAGACTGATTGAAGAATGAATCAGCTGGCTGGCCGGAACTGTTATTAAGGTTGTGTTTCTGATCGGAACTTTCTGGTGATGTTTCAGACGGGGATACCAGCCTGTAACGGAAAGAGGCGGGAAAGTGAACTCGCGAGCCGGCAAGTTTGAGAATTTGAACCGACCGAATAGCCGGGTCAGAGGATGGAGGCTCAGGTCGGCCGCGTGCGCTGCTCCTCGAAGCGCGCGGTGTTGGCTGCGCTCGAGCGCGTGGTGGAGCCACTACGGAAACGGCTGAAAACTATCCCGCAAGAGGCCCAGCAGGTGAGTTGACCGGGGATGGGGAGAAGAGGTGGTGAAGGGGGAGGGGCGCAGGTGAGTGGACCGAGGCGGGGTGGGCGGTGAGGGGAGTAGGTGAATGGGGGGCGGGGATAGGGACAGGGGAGTAGGTAAACTGGGGGGGTTGGTGGGGGTGGTGAGGGGAGTGAGCGGGCGGAGAAGAGGGTGGGGATGGGGGCAGCGGGTGGGGGGCAGGTGGGGAGGGGGGCAGTGGGGCGGGGGGCGGGGGGCAGGGGAGCAGGTGGGCAGGGGAGCAGGTGGGGTGGGGGGCAGGGGAGTGGGTGGGGGCGGGGTTCAGGGGTGCAGGTGGGGGAGCGGGTGGGGAGGGGAGTAGGGTGTAGGGGAGCGGGTGGGGTGGGGATTATCGCAGTATCATTTTCTCCACATAAGTTGCTGTTTAATTCTCACTTTAATAAGGACATGAGACTCACCCAACTTTATCTTTAAAAAAAAAACTGATCCTGTTTATTGAATTTAATTAACTTGGAACACATACAATAATTCTGTTTTCAGATATTTGAGACTGCTGTTCAGGAGAATATCCTTGTCAATGGGCTGTTATGGCAAGAAGTCTCAGAGGAAGATGAGCTCAGACATGGTATGGAACCCAATAAATTCAGTCCAATTTTCCTTGCAATCTCCAGATACTAATCATATTTGATGCAAAATGATGTATTAAGGCAGTTGTGCTTTCAGAAAAGTCAAAACTTTCTGAAGTTGCCTGATTTCATTTCTCCTGTACAAATTCATCTTTGCTTTTGTCTAAACAAATCTTGGAAAAATGATTGTAGAGATAAATGATCTTCTGAAATTATTCTTATGTACCCAATTATGATAAATAAAGTAAGACCTGGAAGTTGAACAACCTTTGTAACTAAGTATAGTTTATTGAAGTATATCATTATGTCATTCTTTGTGTAAGAATATTCATCTGGATTGAGGCTTGATCTATAAATGATCAGGCATGTTTTGTGTATGGTTAACGTTGTCAAGTCAGCAGTCTGCAGACAAATATGTATTAATTGAGGTCAATCCTAAACGTTATGATATTAAATTGGCACAGAATGGATGCTATGAATTTTCACAATGTCATTAGTGTCCATCACTCCCCACTGGCCAGGCACCATTCACCTCGTGTTATGCAGCCTCCACCTGGTAAATTGCTTATCTGCTACAGTTGATCTGTCTTAGCTTGTCCTTGGAACTTGAGAGTGCCTGCTCAACAAGTGGATGGAATCCATTGCATCAGACAAACAAACACAACAAATGAAAAAGGAGATGTCAGGTCCATGTACGTGGAATTGAGTCAATAAGGTGTGTTCCGCAACCATGATTGACATGGAATTAGACTGGATTTAAACATATTTTCCATACAAGAGACCCAGCTTTCCAAGAGCAGGTCACTGGACAAAATGTTACGTTATTCTGGCAGGGAAGAGTTCAGTGGAAATGCATAAGCAAAATCTGGACACTGTTGGGAGGAACTTGTTACTTTTTAGTGGTGAGACCTGAACAAAAATGGTAGGCAGAAGAAAAGGCTGGACTGCTCCCAGATTTGCTGTCTCAGATATATGGCACTTGGCAGGATAAGATCACCAATTCAGTAGTATTTATGGTGCGCTAATTTGATCAGCATACTGACATTGCTAAACCAATTACATCTGTACTGTCCTGGCCATATTTGTCAGGAAATATGATATTTGATAACAGCCTGGGAGACTGTAAATTGGCTTCAAAAGCTTGGAGTTTGGAAGACTACTGTGATCTCATTCAATCATCAAAGTTCTGAATGGGCTTGATAGGTTAGACACTGAGGGGTTTCTTCTGTGGGGAATCTAGAACGTCTGCAGAGTCTCAGATTAAACAGTTGATCTTTTCAGACTCTGGTTAAGAGGGATTTCTTAACTAAGGGTTGTGAATTTTTGGAAATCTCAACCTCCAGAGGTTTGTGGATGCTCCTTCATTGAATATTTTAAAGCTCAAAGACCTTTTCCTGGAAATGAAGGAATATGGGTCACAGATATAGGAAAGTGGAGTTAAACCTGTTGAATTAGCTATGGCCATGTAGAACACTACAATTGGCTCGAGGGACAATCAAGTCTTTTTGCTTCTATTTTGTTCTAATATTCAACTTCATTTTTTGAACTAAGGAAGTGTAAACATGAGTATGAGTAGGTATGATGTACCTGAATTTTCAGAAGGCCTTCAGTAAGCTTGTGTAGCTTGGTTGTTTTATTTGATGTCAAGCTTGGGTTGTTGTTCTTGACAAGCTGCCCACAGTCCTCCCATTTCAGCTTCCAAAATGTTGACCTTTCTTTGTTAATGGTGCAGTCCAAACATAATTTTAGGAGCAGGGGTCTTGTGGTGCAGTGGTAGTATCTCACTGGGTTCAGGTCCCACCTGCTCTGGGTGTATAATAATATCTCTGAACAAGTTGATTGGAAATTATCTAATTTTGTGGGCAGATTTGCCTAATGTATTTTTCTTTCAGTTGTCATTGTCCCAGAAATAAAGAACTCACATTGTTGGTTCATCAATCCTTGTGAATGATTGCTATATTTTCATCTGAGAGAAGAACATGATCTGCTGGCAGCATGTGGTTTTTGAATATTTTTGATTTTTTTTTTCTAAGTTTGCAATTTGTAGTGTGCTGGCAGCATGGCTTTGAAAATTTGACCACAAAATATACATGACTTAGCCCTTCACATCCAGTAGAAGGAAACAACAAGGGCTAAAGTGAAACAACCATCAAGATTGTGTTGAAAATTCTGTAGCTTATTATATACACTATAGTTGGCTGTATGTCCCAATGATTGGTATCATATAGCACATCTTTGGCTGTTCACAACAAGCAGTGTTAACTATGCTCAAGCAGTCTACGCTTGCAAAATATTTGAACCAATCACTTCGCTTACCAACCAATCGGCACTCTTTTGTCATGTGATTTTAAATCATTCCTATTTTTGAAGTTTTGTATTCTTGTGATTCTGCCCATGAGTGAGAACAGCCTGGCTTTTCTTTGCAGCAGTGTTAGTTGTTAATATACTTACAGAATGGATGTAAGAATGGCAAATGACCTGTTGCATAAATGTGTGCAGTGGTGCATTTTTGATAGGGCAAATAATGTCCAAACAAGGAGGAAAAACAATGGGGTATTAATTTATAACTAGTTAAAAGTAGTATTGCAAGTTGAGGTAATTAAATATCAAACGCAGATCTGGAGTTCCTTTTTGTGGAAGAATACCTGAAAAATAAAGTTCTTAAACTCATATAGAACCTTGGTTAGATCACACTTCAATCACCATAATACAAAATGGTAGTACAAAAATGATTATAATATCAGACCTGAGCCAGAATATCTGGGTTTAAGTCCCACTTGCCCTGCAAGCATATTTCATTTGGAGGTTGAAGACAGACCGAGTGCAAAGAGACACCATGTATAAATCATTGGACAAAGGGGAGGGCTAACATAATCAATGCCACCCTTGCCCTGATGGCCACCTTTGTGCGTGGCTGCGTCAAGTAGTGCATAGACCCTTGATACATTAACACCAAGTGTCACTACTTACTGAGGTTCTACCTGCCCCCATGTTATCAAGGATAGGTCTGGCAGCGGAACGCTACAAGTAGTTGGACTGTCCTGTATCACTGGTCCCTTGTGGAGAAATTCGTGAAGAAAAGCACCTCTTTGACCACAAATCCAACTAGCAGTGGTCAGCACGTAGTGTCTTCGAGACCCTTCGGTGTTGGGGGGGGGGGGGGGGGGGGGAAGCGGTGTTGAAAGGAGAAGGTTGACGTTTGTTCGGTGGTTCCCTGAGCAGACTAGCAAAGTCATTTGGCAGAAAGCCTCATTCCTGGATCTCTGTTCCACCGCACACTGCCCTCAAAGTGGCTGTGGAGAGATGAGACTGTCACGCATCTCTTTCTGGAATGTGCCTATGCAAAGGTAATCTAAAGAGAGATGCAGTGGTTTTTGGTAAGGTTCTTCCTGAACAGTTCTGTGACGCAGGATTCTGTGCTGTACAGTGTGTTCAGGGCAACAGACTATAGATACAAATGTCAACTGCCTCTAGAGGGCCATTTAACGTGGTGAAAGACACTCCATTGGTCTGCCTGAAACTTGTTGGTCTTCCTTTTTTTTTAGAAAAGACTTGACCCTGATTGAGTGTTGCAGACTGGCATATTCCAAGCTCCAGGACTACATGTTGAGGGACATACTAAAGCCTGGGGCAGCTGCTGCCAAGGCACAGTGGGGAAAGACACTGTCTGAGGTATCTCTGCTGAAGTTAAATGGGGGTCTGTTCAATTATCAAAACCTCCTGGTACCTCAAATATACGTGAATATAATCTTGCTCAAGTAAGAGATTTGAGGTGAGGTGCTGGAAGACTGCAGGTTGGTTAATGTGGTGTCACTTTTTTAAGAAAGGTGGTAGGGAAAATCCAAGGAACAATAGACTGGTGAGCTTGACATCAGTTGTGGGCAAGTTATTGGAGGGGATCCTGAGGGGCAGGATTTACGTGTATTTGGACTGATTAGGGATAGTCTACATGGCTTTGTGTGTGGGAAATCGTGTCTCGCTAACTTTTTTTTTTGAAGAAGTGACGAAGATTGAAGGCAGATTGGTGGATTTTGTCTACGTAGACTTCAGAAAAGTGTTTGACAAGATTCTGCATGGTAGACTGGCTAACAAGATTAGATCACATGGAATACAGGGAGAAACTAACCGTTTAGATACAAAATTGACTCAAAGGTAGGAGATGGAGAGTGGTGGTGGAACATTAGTTCTTGGATGGGGTGGAGACCTGTGACCAGCGGTATGCCGCAAGGATCAGTCCTGGGTCCACTGCTTTTTTTGTCATTTTATATCAATGATTTGGATGCGAATATAGGAAGTATGGTTAGTAAGTTTGCAGGTGTACAATGGGACCCCGATCAGATGGGCTGAGCAGTGGCAGATGGCGTTTAATGTAGATATATGTGAGATGTTATGTTTTGCTAGGGCAAGTCAGGGCAGGACTTGTATACTTAATGGTCAGGACTTGAAAATGGAATCACAGGTAGACAGTAGTGAAGAAGGCATTTGGTACGCTTGCCTTTATTGGTCAGTGCATTGAGTATAGGAGCTGGGAGCTTGAGTTGTGGCTGTACAGGATGTTGGGTTAGGCCACTTTTGGAATACTGTGTTCCAATCTGGTCTCCATGCTATAGGATAGATGTTGTGAAGCTTGAAAGGATTCAGAAAAGATTTTCAAGGCAATTACCAGGGCTGGTGGGCTAGAGCTATAGTAGGTGGCTAAATTGGCTGGGACTATGTTCTCTGCAGTGTTGGAGGCTGAGGGGTGATGTTTTAGAAGTTTATAAAATCTTGGATAGGGTAAATAGCCAAGGTCTTTTCTGTAGAGTGAGGGAGTCCAAAACTAGAGGGTGTAGGTTTAGGATGAGAAGGGAAAGATTTAAAAGGGCTAAGGGGCAACTTTTTCACACAGGATGGTGTGTGAACGGAATGAGCTGTCAGAGGAAGTGGTGGAGGCTGGTACAATTGCAACGTTTGAAAGGCATCAGGATGGATATATGGATAGGAAGAGTTTGGAGGGATACAGGCCAAATGCTGGCAAATGGGAATAGATTAATTTAGGATATCTGGTTGGCTTGGATGAGTTGGACCGAAGAGTCTGTTTCTGTGCTGTACATCTCTGACTCGGAGATGTAGAGTCAAATTTGTTCTCCTCTTACACAGCTGCACAGAATGTGTGTGTGTGTGTGTGTGAAAATCTAAACACAGCAGAGGCTGACACTTTTTTAAGAGGGAAAGCTGAAGGGTAGCTTTAATAAGTCTTAAAATTATGGAGGGATATGGTATATGCTCAGAAAATGTTCAACTTATGGGGAAGTCAAAATCAAAAGCAATAATTAGCTGTTAATCCAATAAAGAACTCCGAAGAAATGCCTTTACCAGTGAGAAGTTGTTTTGGGAGGATGCCTGTTACAAATGTGAAAACAAAATTAGTAGAAAATGGAGATTGAGAAAGAGGAGGTTCGTGCCCAGCAGAGATGAATTAACATGACTGATATATCAATGAAATTAATACTATTGTTGTCAAATTAGTACATTTTCAATTACTTCACTGTTAAAATGTGTAGAAAAGGAAGCATTGACATCTAACAAAGTTGGAGAGCAGAACTTGAGTTACCCCGTTGTAATTAAATGTATTCGGGTGATTTTTTTGTTTTGCTGCCAATTAAAATGTTGAATTGGGTATCACCGTAATATTTTGGATTAATTCTTTTGCTTTCTTAACTCCTAATTCTACCTAGATTGAATCTGTTAATCTCTCCTGATACAATTCTGCTTTTGATGATCCAGAGGCTGATACTGACGATTCTGATCTTAACATTTCTGTACCTCTTCAATATTGTTTGCTAGGCAAAATTTGAGGTTTTTCTATTCATTGTGTCTATGCAGAAACGGAGTTCAATAAGTTCATCAGTTGGTTTAATACTTTGTAAACCAAAACTTTACCTTTTAATTAAAAATGCTGCAAATAACTTTAATTTCAGGTAGTGACATAAGGACTTTAGATGATGATTTGGATGAATGCATTAAAGAGACGGCTTCAAAACGTAAGCAGTTTCCAAGGAAGGTTGTTGGACATCTTGCTAGGACCATGAAAGCAGAAAGGGAATCACTCGTATGTTTACATTTTTTTTGATATCTTTGTCCTGAAATTCAGTTTGTACTGATTTGCGCCAGTATGTTCAGCCCTATGCTTTATGTATGACAGTATCTAACCAAATCCAGTTGCATGATGTTGCTGAAACCAATGGTAGGACATCTGCTTTAATTTAGTTAGATAAATCCTTTCTACAATTATGTCTTCGAATTATGTCAGCCCTAGGAAATTGGAGAAGCTCCTCAGCATAACCATCCAGCCACCACTATCGTCAGCTGTTTTATCAATGACCATTACTCAATCGTGTAGTTAGAGGTGGAGATATTCACTGACTTTTGCAGTGTCTAGTACCATTTGCAATTCCACAAACCTGAAGCAATCAGTATCCGTAAACAGCAGTTCCTGAATAATATTCAGGCTTGGAGTAAGTGACAAGTCACATTTTTGCCTCACGTGCCAAGGGGGAAGGCAGTGATATAATGGTAATGTCATTGGGCTTGGATAATTCTCTGAGGACATGGGTTCAAATTCCATAATAGCAGGTGGTGAAATTTGCATTCAATATTTTTTTTTTGGTTTTAAAAATTGGAAATTAAAACATGCCCAGTGGTGACTGTCCAGTGTTGGCACAAAAATGGTTCACTAATATCCCATGGGGAAGGAGATCCGCCCTGCTTACCTGGTCTAGCCTATGTGTGATTGTGCAATATGCTTCATTCCTAACTGCCCTCTGAAATGGTTCTAGCAAACCACTCAGATTAAGGGGTAATTCGGGGTGGTCAATAAATGATGGCCTGGCTCAGCGTGGTATGTATGCCATGAGCAAATTTTTTTTTTTTTTTTTTTTTTGAAAAAATTTTGCAAAAAGGGAATATCTCAGAATGCTGATGTACCATTGACCAGAACTTAACTGGGCTGGACATATATACTCTCTGACTGCAAAAAAGCAGATAGGAGGCATGGAATTCTGTAACAAGTGCCCTGCCTCTTGATCTCTGTGCCCCATTGCATGGGAACGCCAACACCAACACTTTCCAATCCACGCACCACTCTGACTTTGAACTGTAACAGTGTTCCTTTGCTGCGATTATGCCAAAATCCTGAACCTCCCCTACTAACACTACCTTATATAGGTGTACCCGCACCAGATGCGTTATAGGTCAAAGAGGTGCTTCACCGCCAGATTTAAGAGTAGTTATGGATAACCAATAAATTCTGACATTGAGAGTGATGCACTTGCCTCTTAAAGTTTTTTTTTGAAAAAAATCTGAAGTTTCAGCACCATGGCCAGAATGTTGCTTGCCTTTTGTTTCAAATGCACCTGGCTTTTTCTTGATCGTGATGTTGGTATCAACTGGACACCTCTGACAAAATATTTTTGTAAATGCTTCAGTCTTGAGTCTTGCAATAGTGTGCTGCACCATCATTGCAAATGGGATTATTCATGGATCTCATCTGTTGGTTGTGACTTCCATCCCATGGCTCCAACTATACAATCACCCCCAATCCCACACTTTTTTATATTAATAGTGAGGGATATGCTAGGACACACACTGGTGCATAATTTCTCCTTCTGATAATTTCTCCTTCAGAACAGCCAAAAACTCGATGTCAAAACATGTGCTGAATCTAGATGGGTTTTTCTGACAATCTGGCAGTTTTGTGGTCACCAATATTGCGAGCTGCTTTTTCCGGATTTAGTGAATTGACTCCCCTTTTTTTATTAAAAGGTTACACCTAGGCAGATAGGACATTCGAATTGCATCTGATTTCAAGTCCAGCTCCCTGAATTACTAGGCTAGTTTCATAAATCCCTTCTACTGTATTTGACAAAGATTGTGAAGGACAGATGAATTTAAAAGAAAGAGATAACAAACAGGCAGAAAATGTTTTTTAAAAATATCTGCATTTCCAAATTAATGGGAGGGGTGGCTTAGAGTATTAACACTAGGCTTTTAATCCAGGTAGTGTTCTGGGGACTGGGGTTCAGATGCAATTCATTTTGAAAATCTGGAATTAAGAGTCTAATTATAGCCATGAAACCATTGTTAATTGTTGGAAAAATATATCTGGTTCACAAATGTCCTTCAGGAAAGGAAACTGCTGTCCTTATCTGGTCTACCATACATGTGACTCCAAGTCCATGGCAATTAGGGATGGGCAATAAATGCTGGCCTGTTCATTGATATCCGTATCCGTGATTATTTTTTTTTCCCTCCCTCAAAATTAAGGGACAGGAAGTTTGTGCAGCAGCAATTATCACTGCCAGACAGCATGTAAATCTCCTTTTACTCCTGATTGTAATAGCCCTAAATTTTTCCAGTATTTCGATATGGAGTCGAGCATATATAGCAAATCAATGTTCGGTCTGCTTTGAGATGCAAGGTGAATCTGAGAGCAGTGTCTGAGTTTTCACACTTCACCGGGCATGCACGTGCTTCAATATTTGCTGTCTGCTTTGTCCCATAATAACTTAGTGCTGATAGCCTCAGTTATAACAGAATCTGGCCTTTGTGTTTATGAGCACTTTACACTTGCATAAAACCAAACTGCTTTCACCTGTTACGTAATAGTGAAAGGAAGAATTACAAAAATATTTTTATGTGCTACATTGTTGACCCTTGAAATGCTTTATCAAATTAGGAAGCAAAGTGTTTACTCGTCTTTAAAAGACGAGTGGTGAAATTTTTGTAAAAGAGAAGTCTAGAGAAGTATGAGAAAGTCACTAGAAAACTTGTGAAAAAGCAGACAAAGTCAGCAGTTCTTTCAGTGAGCCACATTGTGGACAAGTACAAATTTGATTGGTCCACCACTAAGCTTTAATCCAGATGCTTTTTTTTTTCTTACAACACAATCAAAATACAGCAAAAAGAAGAATTGACATAACTTTATTGAAAAAGTTAACAAGATAATGTATTGTTTAACTACTAATCATCAACTGTTCCAATATAGGCAGCATCCCATAAATGCACTCTTAGTAAAGGCAAATGAGCAACTCTGTAATGATTCTCGCTTGCTGACTCTCTTCAGTCTAGTAGAGAGAACAATCTGCCCCTTTTGATTTCTATGAAGCCTTGCTGTCTAAGACTTCACTCCAGCAACCAGCAGAAATCTTCTCAACTAGCTGGAGGCATAACTAAAAGCCTTCCTGGGTATGCGGGAGCCCTGACCCTGCCGACTGATTCTTTGTCTTATTTCTTAAAAAAAAAAGTGAGAACTCCCTCATCTGCAAGAAAAACAGGGCAGAATACATCTCTTAAAGGCACAATACTGACATAGCTAGCTAAAGCGCAATGTAACAAATGTTGTCCCATCTTGTATGATTTCTGATAGCTTGTAGGAGTGACAGAAAAGATCTGCAATCTGGACTACTGTTCAGTCTGCAGGATTTTGAAAGCTAACCAGAAGGGAGGGTGTTAATTTGATTTACTATTTAAATATTTGAACCTATCTTCTATAATTACTACTAATAATATGCATTTCATTGTCTGCAGAAGCTATATCAGCCTGTAGTAACGTCTCAGTTGAAAACAGAAGTTGATTCAGAACAAGGTAAGCAAGTGAAAAATTTTCTTTCAAACCCCAGGTGCCTTTTGTAGCTAACTGTGCTGAGCCTACTGAATGGCAACCCAATGAATATAATTTTTTTTAATTGGGAAAATTAAAAACGGGCATGAGCTGTCTTTGTGTGCTTGTCAACCACCTGAGAGGGTGTATTGTAGATGGTCAGCTTTTTAAGACACTACCTTTCTTCCTCCAGCCAGCAACTAAATGACACATTTTATTCCTTCGTTTGTTTGAGAAGGAGGAAAACAATTCAACGTTAACCAGCAGCTCCCTCTGCAGTAAGAGATGAAATCAGAAATTTCACCAACTTGGCATTTTTATACAGGGACTAACATGCCTGTAGGTGTCTGAAGTTACTATCAAACAACATTTGATGCAATCACAAGTGATAGCAGGACAAGTGATAAAAAAAATTTCAGCAAACAGATATTATGTATGTCTTACAAATGTTACATCTCTCTTTTTAACACTATATTACAGAACCTCGGGTCTAGGAAGCTGAATGTGCAGCCTTATAATAGTAGCACAAAGTAAATTGGGAATAAGGGAGAAGTCAGAATTGGAAGAATACAGTGCAGATTTGTAGGATCGGAGAGGGAGAGGCCGGAGACCATGGAGGGCTTTTGAAGAAAATGGTGATAATTTTAAATTGACTTGGCCTGCAAGGTCCTAAATGTAAGGTGATAAATGCAGTGTTATGCTACAGAAAACAATCTGGTGCAGGTATGAACTGAAGACAATTTCTGAGGAAGGGTCTACCCCTGAAATGTCAGCCTTCCTGCTCCTCTGATGCTGCTTGGCCTGCTGTGTTCATCCAGCTCTACACCTTGTTATCTCAGATTCTCCAGCATCTGCAGTTCCTACTATCTCTGAAGACAATCTTTACCTGTTTTAATAAACATTTATTTAGAGATGCGCATTACAAACAGGTATCCCTTAACTCAACAACCACAGTTTCAGACCGTCTTTTTGATACTTCTATAAAAACACAGCCTATTAACAAAACTATTTTTAATCAATCTGTTTGGATATATTGGGTTTTTATTGTCATGTGTACCGAAGTACGGTGAAAAGCTTTGTTTATGAGCAGTACAGGCATATCATTGTAAGCAAGGTTATACAGAACAAAAAGACTTAGACAGAGGCATAAAGATTACATTGCACAGGGTGTGCACTAGTTGAGATCAACATTAGCAAGATCAATATTATCTGAGGCTTGATAGTCAATTCATCAGTCTAATAACAGCCGGGAAGCAACTGTTCCTGAATCTGCTGGTGCGTGTTCAAGTTTCTGTATCTTCTGCCTGATGGAAGAGGTTGTGAGAGATCATTTACCAGGGTGTAATGGGTCTTTGACATTGGCAGCCTTCCCACAGCAGTGAGCCATGTAAATGGAGTCCATGGATGGAAGATTGGCTTCTGTGATAGTTTGAGCTGTGCACATCACCTTCTGCCCAGGACCATAAGGAAATACAGAACAGTTGCCATACCAGGCTGCTATGCACCCAGACAGTATGCTTTCAGTTGTGCATCTGTAGAAGTTGGTGAAGGTTCTTATGGACATGCCAAATTTCCTGAGCCATCTGAGGAAGAGGAGGCATCGTTGTGCCGTCTTGACCGTCACGTCTACATGGAAAGTCCAGGACAGGTTGTCGGTTACCGTCACTCCAAGGAACTTGACCTTATCTACCCCCTCAATCTCCGCTCCATTGACGTAGATGGGGGTGTGTTCCTTTTTTTTTTTTAACCCTGAAGTCAGTGAGACATAACTCCAGGATAGCCACATCCATGAACCCAGATCTTCTGGCCCAGAGGTGAGGTTACTATCATTGTGCTACAAGACCTCCCAGCAGCATATTTACATGGGCACAATGAAATTATAAGTTAATGTCTGCCACCTGTATGCAGTTACAACAATAGGGTACTTGTGGCACAGTGGTAGTGTCCCTACCTCTGAGCCAAGAGACCTGGGTTCAGGGCCCACCTGATTCCGAGATGAATAATATCTCCAAACTGGTTTATTAGTCAGCCCATCTGTTATCTTAAACAGTCACACCCTCCATCACCACAGTGGCTGCAACATACAAGATGCACTGCAAAGATGCAGCAAGGTCAGCACAGGTGATTGGTGACCAGGAGTTCGGATGAATTGCAATATGGGCAACAGTTTTTTTTTTTTTTTTTTTTTTTTTAATTTAGCTCAAGTCAACAGGGTGATACTGGCCAGGATGCTATTGAAATAGTTGAGTAAAATAAGGTATTGTTTTAAATTAAATAATGCCAGACCAGCATTTATTGTCCATCTGTAATGGACTTTAAAGGCAATTGTGAGCTATCTTGAGCCACTACAGTCTATATAATGTAGCACATCTGGAGTGTTGCTACAAAGGGAATTCTAATGCTTTAAACCAGCAAGTGATGGAATGGTGGTGTGGTTCAGTTAGGACGGTGTGTGGCTTGGAGGAGATCATGTGAGTGGTCGTGTTCCCATGCATCTGCCTTTGCCTTTGTCCTTCGAGCTGGTAGCGATTGTGGGTTCAGAGGGTGCTCTCAAAGAAACCTTGCTGCATCTTTGCAGTGCATCTTGTATGCTACAGCCACTGTGGTGATGGAGGGTGTGACTGTTTAAGATAACAGATGAGCTGACTATCAAGTGCACTGTTTTGTTCTGGTTGGAATTGATTTTCTTGAATATTGTTGGAGCAGCACTCATCCAGGCAAATGGACATTGTCCCATCATACTTTTGACCTATGCCTTCTCTATGTTGGGAGGATTTGAGGAATCAGGAGGTGAGTTACTTGGCGAATAACGCCCTGCCTCTCTTTTATATGGACTCGGTGATTATACACCTGGTCCTACCCCAGCCCCCACCAACCCCACATGCATGCACGTGCTCTCAATGCTAAGGGTAATGGTTAAATTCTCCCTTGATGGAGATGGTCATTGTCTGGCATATGTGGCGCAAATATTACTTTCCACATATCAGCCCAATTCAGGATTCTTTTTTCCCAGACTTGTATTTGGACATAGGCTGCTTCAGGAGCTGTGGAGTTGTGAATGACACTGAATGATGTGCACCCAGTGAACATCCTTACCCCTGACGTTGTGATAGAGGAACAGTCATTAATTAAGCAGTTGAAGATGGTGGGGCCTAGGACTGTATTTTGCAGGTGTTTCTCAGCAATATTGTGGCTAAGATGGTTGACCTCCAGCAGTCAACAGTCTTGCTTTGTGCTAGGTCTGACGCCAACAAATGGAGCTGAATATTTAAATGGAAAATGATTGCAGAAAGCTGCAGCACAGTGATTTGGGGGCGCTAGCGTGTGAATTGCAAGGTAGCATTCAAGATCAATGGGCAATAGGGATGCCAAATAGAATGTTGGTGTTTATTCCAAATGGAAAGGAGTTTAAAAAGAGGAAAATCTTGCTAAAACTGTGTAAGGTGCTAATTAGACCACAGCTGGAATACTGTGAAGTTTTAGTTCCCCTGTTTGAACAAAGATATACTGGCACTGGAGGCAGACCAGAGAATGTTCACTAGGTTAGGGAGGGGTTTTCTTGTGAGGAGAAGTTGAGTAGTTTGGACTTGTTCTCTAGACTTGTGGGAGAGTTTAGAACCAGAGAATGTAAATGGGCGACCCCTCAGACTGAAGTTAAGACAATGAGGAGGAATTCTTCACTGCAGAGGGCAGTCAAGGCTGGGTTGTTGAATGTATTCAAGGCCGAGCTAGAGAGATTTCTAATCGTTAGGGCAATTTGATGATTATGGAGATGAAACCAGAAGGTGGAATTGAGGATGATCAAATCAGCCATGATTTACTTAAATGGTTGAACAAACTCGATGGACCGAATGACTTCGTATTTTTTTATTCCTGATCCCTAGTTGCCCTTGAGAAGTTGGTGGTGAACTGTCACCTTGAACAAGTGCAGTCCATTTGCTGTAGGTAGATCTACAATGCCAGTGCAGAGTTCCAATGATCCAGTGACACTGAAGGAATGACTATATATTTCCAAGTCTGGATATTTAGTGGCTTGGAGAACTTGCAGATGGTGTTGGTCCCATGTATCTGCGCGCGCCCCCCCCCCCCCTTGTCTTTCTAGATTGTAATGGCGATACGTTTTGAAGGTGCTAAGGGTCTTTGGTGTATCTTGTTGGTAATACATACCACTATCATTGAGTGTCAGTGCTGGAGTGAGTGGATGTGGTGCCAATAAACAGGATTATCTTGACTTGACTTGAACGGTATTGAGCTTTTTGAGCATCCTTGGACCTGCACTGATCCAGGCAAGTTGCAAATATTCCATTACGCTACTGACTTGTCTTGGACTTTATGGAGTCAGGAAGTAAGTTACTTGCTACAAGATATCTCGCCTCTGACCAGCTCTACCATATTTATGTGATATAGTCTAGTTTAGTTTCTAGTGAATGTTAACTCCCACAGGGTGTTGATTGTGGGGGATTCAGTGATGATGCTTTTGAATGTCAATGGGTGATGATTAGATTTTCTATTGTTGGAGGTTCTCATTGCCTGGCATTTGTGTGACATGGATGTTACTTGTCAGCCCAAATCTGGATATTCAAGTCTTGTTGCATTTGGGCATGGACTGCTTCTGTATCTGAGGAGTTGCAAATGGTGCTGAACATTGTGCATTTATCAGTGAATATCCCTACTTCTGACCTTGATTAATGGACAAGTTTGTTGAAGCAGCTAAAATGGTTGGCCAAGGACAGTATCCTGAGGAACATCCTAGAGTTGAGATGACTTGCTTCTAACCTCCACAGCCATCTTCCTTTGTGCCAGATTTGACTCCCACCCATGGAGAGCTTTCCCTCTTTTCCCATTGGCTCCAGTTTGCTAGAGATCTTTGATGCCATACCCTGTCAAAAGCAGTCACTCTTGTCTCACCTCTGAGTTCAGCTGTTCTGTGTTTTTATGAGCTAAGGCTGTACTGAAGTCAGGAGCTGAGTGGTCTTGGCCAAACCCAAATTGAGTTTGTGAGCAGGTAATTGCTAAGCAAATATTACTTGATAGAAACAGAACAGTGCTATATCTTAAGGTCTTCCAGTCAATTTTAGATTAATCCTGAGTCATGCTGATTATCAATTTAAGTTGGTATTTAATGATACTTTGTAACTAACATTTTCAAATGCATTTTTTATTAGTATCCAAGGAGAAGGAATTGGTGAGAATTGCATCAAATATTTCTCGAGATATGAGTGACACAATGAAGGTAAGCATTTCAGAGCAATTTGTATACTTAATTTTTCATCTAATTAAAAGAGATTCAGCCATTCAGTGAAACAAATTTTTGAACTGTAACTGAACATATGGAGGAAACATTTGAGCATTTTGTTTAAGATAACTTTGAACAAGTCACTGTACCTCATTTGTGAGGTCTTACATGCCCAAAAGTGCTATTTTTTTTTCATTGTCTCTCCAGTACAGTGTCTTGGCTTATTATAATACTGCACCATTTTGAAGGTGTTTGTATTCTGCTGCTTAAATTAGTTTTAAAGTGGCTGTGTTCACATACTGGTATCTGCAGATATAGTTTGTATACATCCTTGTGATGAATGTATTAAGAAAAATTGTTTTAAACTTCCAAATGGGGTGTGTTGATTTTAATAGATATGTAAGAAGTAGGAGCAGGCGAAGGCCATTCAACCGTTTGAGGCTGCTTCACCATTCAGTATATGGCTGATCCTCTATTTCAGTGCCGTATTCCTGCTTTCTCTCCATACTCCTTGATGCCTTTAATATCTAAAATATTTATCTCTTTGGTGAATATACTCTGATATGGCCTCCAGATTTCTGTGGGAGTGTATTCCACCGGTTGACCACTATCATGAGTAAAGCAGTGTTTCCTCATCTCAGTCCTAAATTGCCTACCCTGTATGCTAATACTCTGATCTCTGATTCTAGACTTCCCAACCAGAAGAAACATTCTCCCTGCACCTAGTCAGTTTAGCCCTATTAGAATTTTGTTTTTAAACAAATCCCCTCTTGTCCTTCTTAAAGTGAATACAGACCCTGTTGAACCAATCTCCCCCCATGACAGTCCTGATATCAGGCTCATGAACTTTCAATGAACTCCCTGTTTGTCAAGTACATATTTTGTTAGGTAAGGAGAACAAAACAGGGCACAATACTCCAGGTGCAGTGTCATGAAGACAGTATAACTGCAGCAAGACATCCCTACTTCTAAACTCAAGTTGTCTTGCAGGTGAAGGTCAACATGCTGTTTGTCGTCTTAACTGCTTGCTGCATCTGCCTGTTTTATTGGCGCATCCCCTTTAACACACAGATCCCTTTTTGCATAAACTAGGAAATATTGCATTTGGTTCCCTCTTCCAAGTCATTAGTATATTTTGTGACCAGCTGGGACTCGAGCACTGATCCCTAAGGTGCACCACTAGTCAGTACCTGCCGTCCAGAAAAAGATTCCCACAGTTTCCATGCCAGTATATTAACTCCAATCCCACATGCTTTAATTTTTTTTTATGTGGGACCTTATCAAAAGCTTTCGCAAAATCCAAAAACACTACATTATCTACAAATCTTCTAGCTAAATCCTCAAACAAACATGTAGAGCATAATTTTCCTGTTCATAAACTCATGCTAACTGTGCCTAATCATGTTAATGCTTTCCAAGTGTTTTGTTATCATACCTTTTTGTAATAGATTCTAGCATTTCCCCACTAATGTTAGACTAACTGGTCTGTCATTTTTTTTTTCCTCTCTGTCTGTTAAAAGAAACCGCGGGGTTACATCTGCTGCTCTCCAATTTCTAGGAACTGTTCCGATCTATAGCATTTTGGAAGATGACCACCAACTTACCCAATATTTCAAGGGCCACTTCCTTTAGTGCTTTGATTACAGATTATCAGGCCCTGAGGATTTATTGGCCTTTAACACCATTAATTATTAAATAATGCTGATTTTCTTAACTTTTTCCTTCAATTCCTCCCTCTCGCTGTACCTAACTTCTCTAACATTTCTGGGAAATTATTTGTGATGACACAAACAAAATCCATGTTCAATTCTTCTGTCATTTCTTTGTTCCCCATTGTAATTCTCTTCCTTACTGTAAAGAACTTGCATTTCTCATTGATCTTTTCCTCTTCACATTTATAGAAGCTATTACAGTCACATTTTGTGTCTGAGTCTAAGCTCAAATACTATTCGCCCCTCTTTTACAATCTTTTTGCCCTGTTTCGAACATAAGAACTAGAAGCAGAAGTAGGCAATTCAGCCTGCTGCACCATTTAATATGACCATTGTTAGTCTCATCTTAGCCTTAACTCCACTTTCTGCCTGCTGTCCAGAACCCTGCAATAAGTTACTAGTTTAAAAATCTATCTATTCCCTCATATTTTTAGTCAATCCCGCTTCTGCCATGTTCTTGAATCGTGAATTCCACAGGTCTGCTGAATTCTAAACTGCTTCCAGTCCTCGGGCTTGCTGCTTTTTCTTGCAATTTATGTGTCCTCTTTAGATCTCCTACTATCGACAATTTATTTTGCAAGCCATGGTTGAGCCACCTTTCCTGTTCTATTTTTTCCTATGCTGGATAGGAAGGAATAATTGTCATTTATGCATGTATTCTTTAAACATTAGCACTTGCCTATCCACTGCCAACCCTTTTTTTTAGTGAGGTTCTCCAATCTAATGTTGCCAACTCGCACCTCAGGCCCTCATAGTTTCCTTTAATTTAGATTCAGGATCCTGGTTTCAGATTCAGTGCCACTCTCCACCTTAATGATTACTTGTCATTTTATGATTGCTGTTCTGCAGTGGCCCCAACACAACAAGATTGTTAATTAATCATTTTTCATTTCACTTCAGGAAATCATCGTCTCTTACTGCTAATTTGGTTTGCTAAATCTGTGTAGGTTCAAGTTGCCCGTGGTTATAATTGTACCCTTATTGCAAGCATCTCTAATCTCCTGTTTAATGCTTTCTGTTGCATCTGCCTATAGACAATCCCCAAAATTGTTTCTGCCCCTTGTTGTTTCTTATCTCCCCCCGAACAGAATCAAAATCATTATTTTGAGAGCCAATATCCTTCCTCGCTTTGGGCATTGGCGATCCTTTACTAATAATGCTTCCCACACCGCGTTTCCCTATTTGCCTGTCCTGCCTAAATATTGAATACTCCTGGATGTTCATTTCCCAACCTTGGTCACCCCTGCAGCTGTGTCTCTCTAATTACAGCTTTATTATAATTATGTAATCTATTTGTGCTGTCAATTCATCTACCTTATTGCAAATGCTCCACACACTAAGATACAGTGCCTTTTTAATTTTGTCCTTTTTAAACCTTCTTAGTCATCTTTGCTTTATTTTGCACCATGACCCATTTGTTTCTTGTCCTTGTTTATTCTGCCTTTTTTTTTGTATGTTTCTGTCCTTGGGTCTACCTTCTCTGACTCCATGCTCAGGTTCCTGTTCCCTGAAAGCACAAAGAAACAGTTCCTCCTTGCAAGGATATTCGTCCTGGTCCTGGCCAGGTGCAATTTGTCCTGTTTGTACTGGTTCCATCTTTCCCAGAATCACTTCTGGTGTCTCACGAATCTGAATCTTTCCTCTTGCACCATTTTCTTCAGCAATATTAATCTAGTACACCCTGTTATTTCTACGCTTGCTAGGATGTGGCACTCGTAGCAGTTCTGAGTTCAGCATTTTTGAGGTCCTACTTTATAATGTGTCCCAACTTCCTAAATTCAGCTTGTGCACCCTAATCCATTATTTTTTTCCAATATATCATTGGTACTGATATATGCGACAACCACTGGAAGTTTGCCCTGCAGCTTCTCCAGGACATCCTTGATGCTGCTCCCATGGAAGCAACATACCATCCTGGAGATAGTAGGAACTGCAGATGCTGGTGAATCTGAGACAACAAGGTGTAGAGCTGGATGAACACAGCAGGCCAAGCAGCATCAGAGGAGCAGGAACGCTGATGTTTTGGGCCTAGACCCTTCTTCAGAAAATTTTCTGAAGAAGGGTCTAGGCCC